TGGTGTGTGTGGTGTGTGTGTGTGGGGTGTGTGGTTGTTGGTGTGTGTGTGTGGGTGTGGTGTGATGGGGTGTTGTGTGGGTTGTGTGTCGCAGACTAAGAACACACCAGCAGCCAAAAAAGTTGGACGTTGGTAACTGTCAGCCCGGATGTTTGCTCTTGTGGTCCCGACCTGTGCGGTGCACGCTGTGTGTTTGGGTGATTCAGTGGATACCAAAACCGCAAACAAACAATGATTGGTGGGATAACTATGAGAGGGTACACACACAGTGAAGTCGAAAAAAGTAACTTGGCCTCATTTGTAACCGTACCTTCGTTGGTATTGAATGATGTAGCGAAAGGTGTCTCAATTCAGAAGGAAAAACTCCACGGTAAGTTAAAGAAATTGGTAACCCTTGAGATACACCATTACAATAAAACGTACAATATTCTTTTGAATTTTAATTACAAGGGACATCACCTCTCGTTCTTGACATCTTTGCACATAATACGTTTATGTCTTGGACTAACACCTTCATGTTCACTCGTGTCACACTAACAGAATCTAGCATCCTTTTATTTACATAAAAAACAAGACCCTATTGGTTATCAAGAACAGTTGTTTGCGCTACCCGTTCCACTTTACTCGTAATATCTCGTTTCCCGCTGTGCCGGTGTAATTCCGGACCATGTAAACCGGGTTAAATAGAGGTACTTACTAATAAGGTACATATGGTTGTGTTTTAGATTCCGGCTCCTCAGGGTCCTTTTTATCCCTAAAATGTCTTTAGACAGGGCAACATGGACATCTCCCTAATTGTTTATACAGCAGCAGAGTACGGTTTTCTTTCTGAGGCCACGAAAGTAAAACGATAAATAAACTTTTGAAGGGCCCCCATAACGAAACTGGGACCTTATGTGTTTGAACGCGATTAAGTACACGATTGTTACAATTGATACAAAAAATCTGGTGACACAAAGTTACAAATAAGAACAAATAGGTTTACGACCGAAACACGTCCAAATACACCGACTCATACAAACACCGATTCGATTAGGTAAATCAAGCCCAAACACTGGAAAAGTTAAATATATCAGTACCGACGTGACAATGTGTACCCTATCATTAATCGACGTCGAACAATGTATATGCTCGGTCATAAATCCAAATTTATGAAACAGTCAACAACTACCCCTGTAAAAAATCATAGGAATGGTCCATACTTCAAAAGTGATCTTGGGTTACAAATTTGAAACCCCTGATCATGTCAGATGAAAGAACTCCCTTTTCTATCATTGTAAGTTAATTAAAGTGAATTAATGAAGATGTATCGGTTATCTAGTTAAATTTGATTCCTTAATCCCTGACTTTTTCCTCAGTGTCGATCGGTTCATTTTTTCCTGTGCAGCACCCGCCAATAGACGACTATAAGAATCGGTTCGTGCCACTGAAGGAACTTATAACTGCCCTCTCTCGTCCCGTTTGTCGCCCCTGTGGTTACAAGTTGATAACCGGAAAATTGGAGGCTCGAGGATATTCCACGCGACACCGATACAATCTTAAACATAAAAGAGCCGAAAATCCTCATTAGTAAGTCGTAAAGGACGTCTAAACTGAAAAAAACACGTTTGTTCAAGAATTGTCTAGAAGGAAACATCATTACGGTGAAGTAACGACAAGTTGTAGAATAGTCTATCACATCACATTTGCATGGAATTATTTGGTGATACCCCGTACCATATATCACGTATAAAATGTATACAGGAGACGAACCGTTAAGGATCAATGTGCATAAATCACTTTTTTTAGGAGATACTTAATGGGCATGGTGACACTTCAATTAGGGTGATAAACCCGTCGAGAGACTTAGTACGTCGACCGGTATACAGTTCCCTACCGACACGGGTTCGGGAAGACAAGGTCCAACTATTTCTGAGCCGGGGTACATTGTGATTGCTAACACTGGCCCCCTTTCGAAACCGATGAGAAGGTTGTCTGACACGATAAAAGGTGCAAATAAGACAAACTCGACAGTAGGATCCGAAGATAGAACAAATTTTGAACCCAAGGTCAAAAAAGGATAAAGACGTAAGTCACTTGGAACGACAAGAGTAAGGAAGAAGACGTAGCAAACGGAACAGGAGAAAAATTAAAAGTTAAATAGGTGGGTAAGTAAAGAACTAATGTTGTCGAACATGATGGCTTTCATAACTGGGAAGTCTCAATAAGAACATAGGACGAGAGAAAGTGGGTGCGTTGGAGGGAAAACTCTGAAAGCTAAGTATAAACATAGAGACATTGGTTTTTTTTTGGTGGCTATATCTGTCCATTGACCTTTCTATACACCCTCATTGTTTCTCTTACCGACCCTGTCAACAGCTGTTCATCTATTTAACGGTGCTTTGTGTCTGTGGGTGACGTTTGTTACCCACTCTGTGGACATTATCGACACCTGGGAAACACTCCCCTATAACACTCGTGGTTACGGTACAGGTTCTGTTGGCCCCATGTACGGTTACATGTCACCCTACTTAATCAAATTTATGAAATCAATGGTAAGTGACAAAGTAACGATCTAATTACCCACGGAAACCACTACCTCCGAAATCAAAACTAAAATAGAAACGAAAAGGGGAAAAAGAGAACTGTACTTATATCCCCGATACGCGAGGAAAAGAAAATGCAGGTAGAAGGAGAAGATCTTGTTGTATTTATTTAGTGCAATCTTGGACAATAATCGCTCTTGTTAAATTAGGTGGTGCGAGTGCAGAGTCACCAACGTTGTCGCATAAACAAACCTGCGAAACAAAAACGTGGTTACCGTGGTTAGGTCCATTAGGCAGTCAACGGGTGAAGGTACCTCTTTTTTTGGGGGTCATCGATTCTTGATAGATCCCTACGGATACGTTAACTTTTATATTTAGTTTGTTAAAGTACGATTATATTTTCGAGTCCAAAATCGATGAGGTAGTCAAGTCACGTCTAAAAATAATTAGGAATAAGAGACAGGTTTTACAGTATGAAAAGTAAATGGGGTTGATATATAAACACATTTAGCCGTTACATGGGTATATGTCATATATTTTTTTTCAGTACTGTTCCTAACACGAAACACCATGTCACTGAAACCGGATTATGGGTTTAGCCTTCTTCATTTAGGAACCCTCAGGGTTAGCTGTAAAAACGTAAGCTTTTTTTATACGGAGGTCCATAATGACTCAGATAAGTGCAAAGGGACCCTGTTCCCCCTGTTGACTTCGACATGCCTGAGGGCTTTAATTACATCAGGGCATCCTTTGCTTGATATTTTAAAGAAACGTGAGAACCGAGGTAATCACGACAACTGTTACGCGGTAAGACATTTACTTACCCCTTTATTTACTACATGTAACATATTAGTGCAGTTCAGACTAACGTACAGACATGAATACACAATGAATGTACACGACAATCGGCAGAGGCATATCCCGTGACGCCGAAGGTTCTACACCTAATGCTCCTCTTAACATACCGGACCGAACAACCGGTTGATTGAATCGCTACACCCAGCGCGACGGTGCACGTAACGCATCGTATATGACGTAGTAAGCTGACCTTTGAGTGTGTGTGTGTGTGTGTGTGTGTGTGTGTGTGTGTGTGTGTGTGTGTGTGTGTGTGTGTGTGTGTGTGTGTGTGTGTGTGTGTGTGTGTGTGTGTGTGTGTGCTGTACTTACACTTGCATATTCAAACAAATTCAAAATGACAACTGCATGAATCTTAACACTAAATAAATGAATAAAATACTTTGCATCCATTATCTGCACAGACTGCTGTTGACACGGTGAAACTTAACGTGGCAAGTACAAAACCTTTTAAGAAGAATCAGTGAAACAGGCTGTTTTTCTTCCGAGTTTCAGCAGGTGTTCAAACAGACACTCGGTTATCAGCTCATTATTTCTGCTGAGCTTTGAAGACGAGCAGGAAACTGAATAGAGAGGGGAGCGCGGGAAAAGAGGCAATTTTGTTTTCGCAAGCTATTTTCCCAAGTAATGAATTCTGACCTTTTGAATGTTTACTTGTCCCTTTTTCAGAGGTGAGCTGGATTTTGAGTTAAAAAGAAAGAAGGGAGAAGGAAATAAGAGTGTTTTTTGAAACTGAGACTATACCTGCTGTAATGTTTTTAAAAAGCATGAATGTGTCTTTTCCCTCTCCCACTTGTATCACTTTCTTCTCAATATATACTCTTTATCTTTTCATTTGCTCCCCAATTTTCTCTTTAACTTTTATCCCCGAGCCTGGCTAACAGATGGGGCGAAATTGTGATTTATCTATCTGGCAATGATTGAAAGCGAGAACTCTAAACACACATGCTGCACATACAGTACTGTTGTACAAACCAGACTCAAACTTCTTTCAACATTAACTAATCACTTCACCGGGAAAAAATAATTCCCTCTTAATGACATTCACTTACATCAGTAGCACTTTCCCCTTAAATTACCGATTTAATCCACACTTCTTATAGCTCACCTTGATGCTAACCTGTAATTAAGCATTTCTCTTTTCCTTTCAGTGCTGTGGAAATTACACAAGAGCTGCAATTAGCTGGAAAGTACTTTTTATTTTTCCAAAAGGTCTATGTTTAGAT